GGCGGCCCCAAAACTCCAAATCCAAAATTTCAACCGTCCACCATCTCAACTAAGCTAGAAATTATCTGACTAATATCCATTTAAGTCTTTGTCGTCGATGCCACTATAGATCGCAGCCTCAGCTTCGTCCATCAAGCTACAATCTCAGATCAGCCACCTTCGACCCTTAGCTTAGCTTTCCTTATTAGAGAAAATTCATGGACGTTGCTACTCAGTCTCCCTTCACAACGATGTGCTCTAATTCAACCACATCTCCCCAAGTCTCCTTTGATCGCTCCACTCCGGGCCCCGACGTCTGTAACTAATGAAGTCTCCTACGACCCTGATACTCCTTATGTTCTCAGAGTCTCCTTCCTCACTGACGAACTGAAGTTTCATCACCCCTGTTCAAAGACGCTGCTACTTCATCTTTTGTATTAGCTGACACCTCTCTATATTTTTAACTTTTCAAGTCTCGGTTTTGCTATTCTCTTCTTCGTACTTTGGATGTGTCTGTTTTGTCCTGCTTCTAACTCATGAACGAGATAAACTATCTCCACACACAACACGATGTATATTTCTTGGCTATAGCACCATTCATAAGGGATATCATTGTTATGAACCTACCACTCGAAGGCTTCGTATTGCCTGTCATGTGACATTCTTTGAGAATATTTCCTATTATACTACTTCAGATTCAGATCTCTCCTTTCTTCTACCCCCTTCATTACCTTCCACTACTATACCTGTATCAGTGGCACTTATACCTTCGTATACTCAACCAACTCCCTCCTTCACTCCAATGGCATCAAACGATAGTGCTCTTGATTCATCCACACCTCCTGGACATTCGTCTACTACATCCCCTTTGCAACAAGATACTCCTACTGATGTCCCCTCTGCATCTGTTACAGCTTCTCCCGATGTGACTCCCCCCCTCACCGCAATCCTCCACGAGATCGTTATCCCCCTGCTCGGTATGCTCAATGTGTCATTAGTACATATTCTTCTGAGTTTGTCTCTTTTTTTGCTACTATTCACACTATACATGAACCTAACTCATATTCTGAGGCAGTTAAGTATCTAGAATAGCAACAAACAATGACAGAAGAGTTGGAGGCTTTTCGTCGGACTAATACTTGGGACCTTGTTCCTCTGCCTTCCAGTGTTAAACCAATAATCTGCAAATAGATTTATAAGGTCAATACTCTATCTAATGGTTCTATTGAGCGGTATAAAGCTCACCTTGTAGCTCGGGGATTTTCACAAGAGTATGATATTGACTATGAAGAGATTTTTGCTCCTGTTGCAAAAATGACATTCATTCGCACTCTCATTGCTGTTGTAGCTACAAAACATTGGCCTTTGTATCAAATGGATGTTAAAAATGCTTTTCTTAATAACGATCTGTCTAAGAAAGTATACATGCAGCCACCTCCTGGTTTTTCTGCTCCTCCAGGACATGCCTATCACATTCGTCGTGCTATATATGGTCTCAAACAGGCTCATCGGGCTTGGTTTGAGCGTTTTTGGCAATCTCTTATTTATATTGGTTTTATTGAAAGCCTAGCTGACTACGCTCTATTTTATCTGTTCTCAGCCTCTGGTACAATTATTCTATTACTTTATGTTGATGACATGATAATCACTGGGAGTGATTCCTCTGCCATTACTTCCTTAAAGCAACATCTTCAGAGACAATTTGAGATGAAGGATCTTGGATCACTTCATTACTTCTTGGGTATTGAGGTTGCTTCCTCCTCTCGTGACTATCTTCTCTCGCAGCAGAAGTACATTGCAGAAATTCTTGAGCGTGCTACTCTCAATGATCCTTCCATTGCTACCACTCCTCTCTCCACACCTATGAAAATAAACTTGAAGCTTCGACATGATGGTGGTGATCCCTTATCGCAGCCTACTCGATATTGGGAACTTGTCGGAGCATTTGTTTATCTTTCAGTAAAACGTTCGAATATTGCCTATGTAGTACACATCTTGAGCCAGTTTGTCAGTAGTCCGACTTTCATTCACTATACAGCTCTCATTCTGGTTCTTCGATATTTCCGTGGCACTATAACCCGATCATTATTTTTCCCTTCAGACTCTTCTCTGTCTCTTTGTGCATATTCTGATGCTGGATGGGCTAATAATGCAAACACTCGACGTTCCACTACTGGCTTTTGTATTTTTCTGGGTTCATCTCTCATCTCTTAGCGTAGTAAGCGTCAAGCCGTTGTCTCTCATTCTACTACGGAGTCCGAGTACAGGGCATTGGCAGACACCACAGTTGAGCTGAAATGGCTTCGCACTCTTCTGCGAGATCTTGATGTCTTTGTTACTTCCCCTATCACTTTATACTGTGATAATCAGAGTGTCATCTCCATTTCTACAAATCTAGTATTTCATGAGCGTACCAAACATATTGACGTGGATTGTCATGTAGTTCGCTAGGAGCATGTTGCTAGAAACATTACACTCTCATATGTTCCCTCTAAGGAACAAGTGATAAATTTATTTAGCAAGGCTCAAACCATTTCTGCCTTTCGCTATATCTTATCCAGACTCTCGGTGTTCAATCCACTGTGAGTTTGAAGGGGGGTGTTAGATAATATCATGAGCCGTCTCAGTTGCCTACATGTGTATAGCCGCCTCCTAGCCTCCTACCCACCCTACATGTGTATAGTCGCCTCCTAGCCGCCTCAGCTGCCTCCTATTGTGGGCTACTATTTGTGTATAATGTGGACTACTGTTTGTGTATATATACCCTGTAAATCTGATCATCAAATAAAGTTCTCTTTAATACCAACTTAACAACTATTAAACAAGACATATAGGTGTTGGGGATTTTATGGAGATTAATCTGCGGAATTAATCACTAAACGAATAACGGCACCAATGAAAAATACTACAAGCAAGCAAACATTAAGATTTAACGTGGTTCGGCAAATCGTGCCTATGTTTATGGGACAATCCAGAGAAATATTCTACTATGAATCAAGAGTACAATCCCTCCAAGTTACACCTGAACTTGAGGATTAAATCACAAGAGAAAGATTCGGTGTTACCTCTAGGGTACCAAAACCCTAAAACCTGTCTCACCAAAAATCTCTAACTCCCGCGGAGAAACCAGCACCGTACTCTCAACGGCGTCGTCGTTCTGAAGACAACTGCTTTTGAATCACTGCAATCGGACACCCGAGCTATCCGGAATCTGAATTTTCCTCTTTCTCTTCTTCTCTCTCTTTTTCTCTCTCCTCTCGGGTACTGTAGCACTCGAAAAACTATTCTTCTATCAAAATTTGATCTCAGGTCTCTTTTATATAGAATTCTCCAAACCTATTCCTATTTCAAATAGATCATCCAAATCCTCTTCTATATAGAATCCTAATTCATGTAGACTTCTTATAGATAGAATTCTAATTCATGTAGACCTCCTCATGTGGGCCTTATCTTGAGCTGGACTCACAACAATCTTCCCCTCCAGCCCAAGGAGGGGATATGTCAATATTTAACTCCTCAATAGGAGTTCATGCCGGCCAATCGTTGACATAACTCTGTCTTCTCTCTGAAAACGGTCTTCGTTAAAAAATCTGCTGGATTTTCATCTGTGTGAATCTTCTATAACTTTAGCTCCTCTTTCTCAACAGCTTCTCTAAGCCAATGATATCTCACATCGATGTGTTTTGTCCTGGAGTGGAATGTAGAATTCTTGCTCAAATCAAGAGCACTTTGACTATCAATGAAGATTTGATAATTGTCCTGCTGCAAGCCTAACTCATGCAAAAATCTTCTCAATCAAATCATCTCCTTACCGGCTTCTGCAGCTATAATATATTCCACCTCTGTTGTAGATAAAGTAACACACTTCTGCAACCTGAACTGCCATGATACTGTTCCCCTTGCAAAAGTGAACAACCAACCTGAGGTAGACTTCCTGTGATCGAGATCACCTGCCATATCCGCATCTGCAAAACCATATAATACTGTCTTCGAACCTCCAAAACTCAAACACAATCTGGAACTACCTTTCAAATATTTTAAGATCCACTTTACACCTTCCCAATGAACTTTCCCTGGATTAGAAAGAAATCTGCTCACAACGCCAACTGCATGAGCTATATCTGACCGAGTGCAAATCATGGCATACATCAAACTCCATATAGCTGAAGAGTAAGGAATATTCTTTATCTCACTCTTTTCCTTATCTGTAGTCGGACAAAATTTTTTGCTAAGCTTCAAATGTCCTGGAAGCGGAGTACTGACTGACTTAGCATCTTTCATGTTGAATCTATCAAGTAGTCGTTCAACATATTTCTCCTGTGATAACCATAACTTCCTGGCTTTCTTGTCACGAATAATATCCATACCAAGAATCCGCTGTGTCGAGCCCAAATCCTTCATGTCAAAAGCTTTAAATAACTCCTTCTTCAGCCCTTCGATTATCTGACTAGCCTGACCAACAATCAACATGTCGTCCACATAAAGCAAAAGGATAATGAAGCTAGAATCTGAAATTCTCCTAAAATATACACACGAATCTGCAACTGTCCTCTGGTAGCCATGACTCAGCATGAAAGAATCAAATTTCTTGTACCACTGCCTGGGTGCCTGTAACTGTCCTCTGGTAGCCATGACTCAGCATGAAAGAATCAAATTTCTTGTACCACTGCCTGGGTGCCTGCTTCAAACCATAGAGACTCTTCTTCAACCTGCAAACCATGTGTTCTTTTCCCTGCACTTCAAAACCTTCCGGCTACTCCATGTAGATCTCCTCCTCCAAATCACCATGAAGGAATGCAGTTTTCACATCAAGCTACTCAATCTCGAGGTCTAAACTAGCTGCTAAACCCAAGATAACTCTAATAGACGTCATCTTCACAACCGGTGAAAAAATTTCATCAAAATCAATGCCCTTTTTCTGACCAAAGCCTTTCACCACTAATCTAGCTTTGTATTTCTGAATCTCTTTGTAACCATCCTTTTTAACTTGAACACCCACTTGTTCTTCAAAGCTTTTCTGTCATTTGTCAAATCCACCAACTCATAAGTATTGTTCTTTTCAAGAGACTTTATCTCTTCCTTCATAGACTGGAACCATCTGTCCTTGTCTTTATGAGTATGTGCCTCCTGAAAGCTTTTTGGCTCCCCCTCTTCTGTCAGTAAAGAATACTCTGAAAGAGGATATATCGTAGATGGTCGTTGCTCTCTAGCTGATCTCCTAAGTTGTGTCTCTGCAAACTCCTGTTGCTGGTGATGCTCCCCCTGCTGAGGAGCCTCCTGCTCGTGATTCTGATCACCGTATCCCTGCTCTGGTATCTGACTATCATCATCAACATCATCATCATGCACATGCTCTGTATCTGTAGGATGCAACTGTACTGGAGACGAAACGGGTGTCATATCTGAAATCTCATTAGCAACACTTTCTGACTGCTCTGCTCTCCTAAGATCTGCAATAGTCCGATCCTCCTGAAAAATCACATCTGCTCGTCTAATCATTTGTCTCTTTTCTGGATCCCATAGTTTGTAGCCGAACTCATCTTCTCCATAACCAATGAAGATGCAAGGAACCGGTCTATCATCAAGCTTTTGTCACTTTTCGCCTTGCAACCAAACACCTTCAAATGAGAATAGAAAATATCTTTTCCAGACCAAACTCTCTCTAGAATATCAAAACCCAAAGGAACTGAAGGGGACCTGTTGATTATGTAGCATGCAGTGCGAACAGCTTCAGCCCAGAAGCTCTTAGGTAACTTCGTCATCTTCAACATGCATCTGACTTTCTCCACAATGGTCCTGTTATACCTCTCTGCAACTCCATTATGCTGCGGTGTGTCGGGCTCTGTCCTCTGATGCCGAATACCATGCTGGGAGCAACAATCTCTAAACTGAATGAAAGTGTACTCTCCTCCATTATCGGTGCGCAAACACTTCAACTTCTTTCCTGTCTGCCTCTCCACCATGGAATAAAACTGCTGAAAGACTGAAAACACTTGATCCTTTGTCCTCAATAAGGAAACCCATATCTTCCGCGATGCATCATCAATAAATGTGATAAAATACTTATTACCACCCAAGGACTCCACCTTAATAGGACCACAAACATCAGAATAAATCAAATCCAAAATATTATCTTTTCTTTTAGAAGTCTTACTAAAAGAAACTCTATGTTGTTTGCCAAATAAACAATAATCACAAGGGGTGAGTGATGAACCTTTGACAAAAGGAATGAGAGACTTCTTTGCTAATATCTGCAACCCCTTCTCACTTATGTGCTCGAGCCTTCTATGCCACAAACTGAGAGTGTCACCGTCTTGAGCCACGCTCAAAGAATCATATGAAGCCTTCGCTTGAGTCTTGTATAAATTGCAACATGCACTTCCTCTAGCCACCACAAGAGAGCCTTTGGTGATTTTACATTTTCCTCCACCAAATTGAATTTCATATCCTATTCGGTCCAAAGCAAGACCCGAAATCAAGTTGAGCCGCAAATTGAGAACATGCCGCACATTCTTTAAGATCAATGTGTATCCGGTATCTGTCTGCAAGTGTATATCACCAAGTCCCACAATCTTCGAGTAGCTAGTATTGCCCATCTTCACATTGCCAAAGTTACATGCCTTATACGACGTGAAAAGGTCTCGATTGGAGGTAGCATGACATGTAGCTCCTGTATCTACTATCCACTCGGAATTCTGACTGGTAACATGCATATAATCTTCTTCCTTGCAAATGAGAATAACATCGGTCTCAGACAAAGTAGCTGTAGTGTTACTATCATCTTTTTTCTTCTCATCTTTCTTTTCATCTTTGTTCTCAGCTTGTCCTTTCTTCAATGCCCATCAATTCTTCTTGATATGACCTGGCTTCCCACAATAAAAACAACCTCTCCCTTTAGACTTTGATCTGCCCTTGGATATACCACGACCTCTGGACTGGTCCCTGTACCTACTCCTGCCCCTATTCTCGTGACAAGTGCTTGTGAGTTATCTGTACTGGTAGACTTCCTCCGAGTCTCCTCATTGAATAAACTACTAGTAACCATACTCATCGATAACACACCATCTGGAGCTGTGTTGCTGACTGTCACAACCAGTGTCTCTCAACTGTCTGGCAAAGAACCCAATAGCAATAAAGCCTATAGCTCATCATCGATAGTCATCTTCATGGTAGCTAACTGATTAATCAAACTCTTGAACTCATTCAAGTGTCCT